TAGAGTATTGCTACAGATTTATTTTGAGAAGTTGCTACTTAACTGGGATTCAAACCCAGGACCTCTGGATGGGGAGTTGAACCCCATGGGCAGACAGCTACAGCCCACTATATGTGAGAACTCTCTGTGAATTAGGTTTATACACTGGTGCCAGGAACTTGTGGACAATTTCTCCAAACTTGTCCGCAAATTCCTGGTGCCAGTGTCTGGCAGTTTGTGCTTTGGCGAACAGGTTCTCCAAATATGTCCGCCAGAGCACAAATTTTTCTCCAAAAGATGTTCGTAGAACTCATTTGGATGAGTTCCGGACATCTTTTGGAGAATTTCTTGCTCAGTGGGTGGAAAGTTTGTTGTAACAAGATTTTTACAATATGTAAATGTATCTATATAGGATTTCTGATAGGACTTGAAAAATTGTATTACATTTTTATACAATTTTTGAAGATAGTATTTATTATAACAATGTGCAAAATTGAGTGTTGCACCCAGATTTTGTGCAGGTGAGAGGATGGAGAAATTTGAGGAAGGAAAAAAGAACTGGGGTAGGTGTGCAACCGACCTGAGGGACTTGATATCCCAAGATAAGCGCAACTGTGTACTTTTGTCAGCACAATGAGCAGAATGGTTTGGTTCAAAAAGAACTTTGACAAACACTTTGAGTCACACACAATACAACTTTTTGCAGAGAGTTTCAGCAGTGGAAAACGTTTGTCCAACATGGTTTCCTTCTTGATACCGTATGATGATTTTTTGAGGAACTCAAGTCCCTTTTATGCTTGTTTTTGAGAAATAATTGGCTGGGTGAGTTAGAAATTGTCCAGAAGGACGGTTGTATGTGGGGTTAGTGGGATGATACGATGATAGTAAATCATCATACTCCAGCATCTGGACTGTAGTTTTTTTCCCCATTTGTTAGGTGACATCTGGTCCTGGTTATGCGCAGTTCCCACAAAGTGGGAAATCGCGCATTTTTTGGCTTTGTTTGTTATTAGGAGAAAGAAGGAGGGAAGAGGATCACCTTTTTCTTGGAATTGGGTTGTAGGAGACCCGTTTTTTGCGTTCCCAGCCACGTGGGGTTCGGTTTCTGCCTTTCCCTGTGAGAAGGGTGATTATTCAGATTCCCTCTCTGCTAAAACACAGTTTTGGAGTCCGGTTTTATGACCCAGTTCCGATGTTGTTTTATGGTCCTGGGTGACAGCAAATTTATTGCTGTTGCCGTTTTTGGCAGTTACGCGGGCTCTGGTGCCCGCGCAGGAGCACTGCTCTCTCTCTCTCTCTCTCTCTCTCTCTCTCTCTCTCTCTTGCAACACCTTATAGCTTATTTTCTCTCTCTCTCTCTCTCTTTCTCTCTCTCTCTCTCTCTCTTTGATTCTCACAAACAAGAGTTTACTGTATCCATCATTTTTCAGAGCATTAAACAACCAATGACTGTGAATATAGAAGTTTTTTTTATGCTCCAGAGGTTTTCAGCCTCATTAATTATTGGTGAAAAAAATGCAAAAGTTTTTTGATATTCTCAAAACACATACAATTCAGTACAAGGTCCTTGGAGAAAATTTATTAATCCAGTATTTGTGCAGTAAAATATTGAAAATTAAAGTTCGACAGGTAAAAATAGAATGTGAAATGCAACCAACTACGTCATTCTAACGCAAAAAGTGATGATTCAGAAAACTTTGCCAGAAGAGTTTTTTGCTGGGTATGATGATATTCATTTCTTCACAAAAATAAAAGAAACTCAGCGGTTTGGGAAAGTTCAATACCTGTTGCAAACAACAGAAAATAGGAGGTATTGAATTCTGTTGGAGACAAAAGGTCTCAACAAAGAGAATAAGTGGAGAATAATAAATGAAACATCCCAATCAGCCTATGGGAAGCAGAGACTCCAGAAAATGGAGTGTTTAATAATGTCCCGAAAAAATAGTTACATCAGCCCAGACACTTGGAATAATAAGAAGGAACGCATAAGAGAGGTTTCATTCAATGTGATATTCACAGCTTCCACAGCTCAACTCAGCACAGAGTCTCACAGTGGAATTGATTTTGCTTCATTGATTGAGAAAAATGAATGAAAGAGGTTGTCTTTGACGCTCAAACTCAGGCCTGTGAATTGTTGATTTTGCCTGAATAGAAGACCATGCATAGCATTTTTTTCCAAGTCCTTTTGGACTGGTTTTGGGGAATGAAGCCTCTGAGGGCTTAGTGCAGGTTTTTTTCTGGTCAGGGGGATGCATTTATTGGCAAATATTAACTGTGATCTGTGGCCCCTAACAAAATCCCCACTGTTTTATCAGGATGCCATTGCATTGTAAGTGTCTACTTCAAAGAACTCATATGCAGAATATATGAACAGAAAAGTAGTGGATAATAATGAAAGGAAAACAATGGCATGACAGATATCTTTAACAAATCTGTAGTTCCATTGGAGAGTGTATGCCTTTTTTGCGATGAAAAGTATGTTAAAACCTAAAAGTAATTTTCCTTTGATTCAAAGAACAGCTAGTATGATTTTATGAATGAACATGCCTTTTTACAACATGCACTTTTGTTCAATTTTATTCTTCCAAGATAAATGGGACTTTGGTGATAAGGCAGGTTTCATGAAAGTTCCCTCTTCACTTCATCAAAAAGACTTGAACACTATGACAGGTCTTGGATTATCTGTAGTGGAAGCACTTTACATGATTGATTAACCATTTCCCACTAAATTTCAGTGTAAAATGTGTTGAAAACCATTATTCTCAATGCAACACAATTTTTTGATAACAATTTTTTAGCAAGTTCCTCTGAGTTTGCTGTTGGAAGATGTTTACGGTACAGTATTTATAAAATCCTGCAGCATTTGGATTACAGTAATGCCATTGCAGGAATTTGAATTATTGATTGTGAGATTTGCATTGATGGACAGTGATCCTGGAACACTGTGGAAGGCAAGGGGATTACCCTCTGCTATTCGCAAAGAAATCAATGGTTCTTTTTGCTTTTCATCTTCAATGACTCAGCGTAACTACCACAGAACTTCTATTTTTATCTAGGAAAGGAAATTCAGAGGGGCCACAAGATGGGGACAAAACTGGGACTTCAACCTTGTCCTTATGTCAGAATGTCCACATGTTGGATCAAGGTTTCCCAAAGACTTCAATGGATATGTATTTAATTGGTTCTCCTGTTGACCAAAAATTAGACAAAAGTCCCTCAAAAATGGAATGAGACATTTTCACTCAGCTTCAAGCTACAGAAAAATAACAGTGCAGAAGAAAATCACACACAAATCAGTTTCTGACCTGGAAAGGACCCCATAATAAGAGCAAAAAACAAGCTTGATTCATTTTATACCATACGCAAATTGTCACCAAAAATGGTGCAAAAAGGTGAGGAATTTGCAAATAAAACACTTTAATCAGCTGTGGGGTTCAGCTACCCAGCAAAAATTTCAGATTCCCGCCAGCGATAGCTGCTACTTTTATGCGTAAAGTGGCCGTTTCTGTTGATGGTAAAACGGTTTTGGCCTGGGAGGAGGGCCCTGTTTTCCTGACACAGTCAGGATGGGGTAAAAAACGTTTTTAGTTGATGCTTTTGAAAGCGTCAGAGTCTGACGCTTTCAAAAGCGTTTCTTACTCTGTTAAAAACGTTTTTCTGTGATGCTTTTGAAAGCGTCAGAGTCTGAGGTTTCAAAAGCATTTCTTACCCTGTTGAAAACGTTTTTGTGTGACGCTTTTGAAAGAGTCACATTTTGACTCTTTCAAAAGCATTTTTTACCCTGTAAAAAACGTTTTTCTGTGATGCTTTTAAAAGCATTGTAAATTTATTAGTAAGCAGACCAGCAACTCTTATTTTGTTATTGGAATTTATTTATCCTATATTTAGATTGGTGGGCTGATTTGAGCATCATATTGAAACTCTGGAAACATGCAGTTCTTATGCAAAAATAAATAAGGGGGTGAAAGTGATGGATGCTAATAGCAGTATACTCCAATTAAATATATGAAGAATCTGTTTTTTATACCAACATTGTTCAACACTGCTTCAACAGTGTTATAAAACTTAAAGAGGATGAAAAGGGAACGCAATAAAGTTATCGATGACAAATTCTCCGCGGACAATAAAAAAAATAAGTCCTCTTATTTTCTCTCATGCCAAGGCATGTTTTTTGCACCAGATTCCTTCGTCACCCTCATTTGAGGTGTGCAGGAATTCATACAGATCTACTTGACTGTAAACAGTGGAAGAATTATCCATATGTAGGAACCTGCCTCGTAGAGTACAGTTCAGTTCCTTTCATAGAACCAATCGGTCAGTTCTGCAATTTTTCCTGGTGACTTCAATTTTGACAGGGACTTTTTATGTCCTATTGAGAATTGTCAAATATTGAATTTTACATTCCCTTAATCCTTTTCAGACAACATTTCCAAACAAATTCGCGTTTTAGTCTGTTGTTACTAATTTTTTTCGCGAAAAGTAAATAAAATAAAAGTTTTCCAATCAACAAGTCAACGCACAAGTTAATCAACAAAAATGTTTTGATTCGCGAGATTTTTACTTTTGGCCTGCGCGGTTTTCGCGTTTGATGACAATTGCGTAAACGTGGGCCAAAAATACTACTGCGAAGATGTCTGTGAAGCAAGGCATTCTTCATACTACAACGACGAGGTGATCTTTGTTGGCTGTGTTTTGGACTTGAAATGCGTCTCCATTCGTCATTTGAAGGTTGGTTGTTTTTCTTTTCTGAAAGGTAGGAACAAGAAATGTCAGTGTTTGAAATTTTCAGAAGGTAACTTTGACCACTCAAACTTGGTGCAGAGGAACAATGACGGAATATTTGCAATCTGTCATCAATCCTTTGTGGCTTTGTCAGGGCATGGAGAGAAATACGGTTACTAGCTCAAGTACCAGTACTGTTACTTCTTCTTCATCCACAAGGAGTAAGTCATCAGTAACTTAATTTAATTATTGAAAACTAGAAATATTTTCTTTTCTTTGTTTCTAGAATCTGTACCTACAACCTTTGCACCGGATTCCACAACAATCGAATCTTTGGTTGTTTTGGAGTTCAGTACGGAGACTTCAATTTCTTCTTCTTCTGAGCGGACAACTGTTCCGTCCAAAAAGATCTTCATTCCTGGTCGCGTGGATGAGATTCCGTTGGGGGTGGAAATGCGACTGCCTATGGAAAAGCTAGGAAAATCCAGTAGTTCTTTTGTGTTACAAAAACATTCCTGGCTTTTCTATTTATTGATTGGCATGAGCATTTTTGCCTTTTTGCTTCTCATCATCCTTTCGATTCTGGTCTACATGAAATATAAGCCTGTAAGTTCTATTGAAATCTTTGGGAAAAGTTTTCTTCTTCAGTAATCTTTTTGTTGTTGATTTAGACTAGAGCGTTGGCCACTTCTGTTGAAGATGCTGTAAGAATGGTTAATCCATTTTTTGATGATTCAGAAATCATTGCTGCTGGTGTTCAACCAGTTTCGTTTGGTGAGGCTTTAGAAATGGCTGAAAGAAGTCGAACTTTTGCTTCTGTCCGTCCTTTGCAAATTAAACTTTTGAGTGAGTTTCAGGAAATATTTTTTCTATACAATATTCTAATGCATTCTATATTTACAGAATATCAAGAATTGCAAGAAATTCCGTTGTCAGCAGCAACTCAAGAACCAAACACAGAAGGATCAACGTGTTAGGACATTCAATGGGTTAGCACGGATTGTCTCCACCGGAAATCAAACCGCTTCGTCAAAAAGGATTCGTTAATTAGTGCAATTTTTTCGTTGCTGGCTTTATTTTTGTGGCATTCGTTGTTAATTTTATGCCCAAATAAAATTGCGTTCCTTTGTTCAAATTTCTGTTCCTTTTACTTTTTTATTTTATCGTCATAATCCCGGTTCTGGGATTCAATTGTAAACGGGGATATTGAGGCACATTAGGGGCCATTCTTGAGGGTAACAATTCTATTGTAGTATTTTCTAGGGCACTCATGTCCCTCTGTCTTCTTCTTCTTATAATGTATCTCAGCTTTGCATAACACAGATACATTATACACGAAAGGATAATTGCAAGAAGAGTAATTGAAACAATTAAATAAATATATCCGTGATCTCGAAAGTGTATCTGGAAATCACTAATATCTTCATTTATTTTTCTTTTAATGTCTGGGGGTAATACTTCTTCCACTGCATTTATTTCAACACGATCTAGTTTAGGTATAAGTGTTTTAAATGGTCCATTGACCATGGTATATCACAATTTGGTTTAAACCGAAGTATACCTGAGTAGGGTAATACATACAAGTTTTCTGTAGCTGGTATTTTGTCGTCATCAGAGCCAGCACAATATTGTGTGACTCTTCCCTTGTCAGCATCTACGTAAGCAAACTCGTCTTGATCGAGTTGTATGACTTTGTCCTTCGGAGCTTTTATCTCCATCATTTCACAAGAGTTTTTGATCTCTTCCTCGTTTGATCCTCTTTGTACGTTTTGTAAGCAATTCACTGCCTTTACAGTAGGCCTGTGTTCCCATCTGCATATACGGCATCCAGAGTATCCTATACTTCTGAGACAACTGGGTAGTTCATTATTATTTATTCCATACAAATTTGTTCCTTGTTGCAACATGTAAGTATGCGGGATTCTGGCTTGATACCATTTTGGAGTCCCGAGATACGTTTCTTTTGCGATCGGCATTACATGCACACGGAATAACCCGTATTTTTCTGCAGGTCTTATTACTGGAACAATTGTAATTATATGTATTTTGCAAGGACCTAACTTTTGTTCAGATGGTGCAGAACATCCAATAAAATTACTAGTTGTTAATGGGTTTGATTGGATTATTGCCATCATTGCTGCGGCAGAAGATCCAATTAAGGAGGCTCTATGTTCTGTAGTTAATATAGTAGCTATAGCGGCATGCACCGTATCATAATTATAAAGATAGGTAGGAATTTGATATTTCATGATAGCCTCTATATCATGTATCAGAAAAGATTCAATATCCACAATGTGGCTGAATTCGGATCCTAAAGTCATCAATCTCATCCAAAATCCTACAGTATCGTTATTTGCGGTTCGCAAATCTTCTATAAGACTTTCGATACTAGTAAATAAATCTTCCTGTCCTAAATTAATTCTAAGGAAGTCAGTCGGGTAAATGTTAACCCGTTTATTTTTTATTTGAATATCTTGCACCTGCACAATGTTTCTTCTAAGTATGGGTATTATATTTAAGTGAGCCATGTCACTAGGAAGCACCATGCTTGCGTTTCTAACTTTTGCTTCCAAACTCTCAGTGACCACTTCTAGATAATGGGCCTTGTGATTTATCACGTCCATGGAAATATTCATTAGTTTACTAAGAGTAGCATTGGTTTCTTTTAATGCTGTTCTTAATTCCTTGAAATATTTTTGGGCAGACATTTGAACTTCGTCTATTCTTTGCATTAAGCTTCCCACATCTAACGTAGACTCTAACGTCCAGAAATTATTTGGGATGCATATGGAATATAATTCTTCTACTGTTACACCTACATCTCCAGGAAAAGTTCTAATCGGAGATAATTTATCTAACCTATTACTATTTGAATCAATTCCCTTATCGTTAGGGATTTCTTCAATTAGCAGCGAATGGTTTGCGGGAAACACAAGAAATAGCACAAAGACAATTCCTAGTGAGAAATGCATTGCTCAACACCGAGGTCGGCCAAGAACTGGTCATACCGATGTTGAAACTTGTTAAGTAGAACTGCTTGACTTCCTCCTTTTTGGGGAGGGAGTTCTCTTTCCTTCTTGTCTGGTTCG